TGAAGCTACGAGAATACTTTTTGTGCGCAAAGAAAACAAAAATAACATAATTTATTCAACAATTCTTCTCCACCGAGTTACCATCTTCCGCCATTTTGGAGAGTATCCAAGAACGTATTCGACGTAATCAGCGTTATTTACGTTCGGAGGAGAAAGCGCGCGCATGAACGTAATCTGCATAATCAGTGTCGTTTACGCTTAGGGGAAAGCGTGCGTATGCGTTAAAATGGCGGAAGACGGTAACTCGGGGGAGAAGAATTGTTGAATAAATTATGTTATTTTTGTTTTCTTTGCGCACAAAAAGTATTCTCGTAGCTTCGCAAAATTGAAGTTAAGCCACTGATGTCACATGGACTGTTTTACCGATGTCCTTAAATGTTTCTGGACCTGGGAACATTTCAGTTGCGTTGCTGTCTATGCAGGGTCAGAGAGCTCTCCGATTCCATCAAAAATATTTTAATTTGTGTTCTCAAGATGAACGAAGGTCTTACGGGTTTGGAACAACATGAGGGTGAGTAATTAATGACAGAATTTTCATTTTGGGGTGAACTAACCCTTTAATTGATGGACTGGAACACCCAGTTAAAACACTCAGAATACCTTAGCAATTGCATTGCAATTCCTGGCACACACCAAACTACATTGTGGCAGTAAGTGCATGCACAACCCATATTTTCTTGTTGAGAGACACAATTTTGTCAAGGGATTTAAAAAAAAAAAGTTGTGCTAATGTATTCTTGTCACAACTTCAAGAAAATTAATAAACTAAAACTTATTTGCCTACATTAGACAATCTCAAATGTCTGACTTGCTAATTAGCACCTGTGCCCTATCCCTTCACCCGAAGAATCTCCAGATGCTTCACTTTGGCAATGATCCATCATGATTCATCCTGACTTATCAGTGCTGTTGACCTCTGTGCCTCAGCTAAATCATTTGACATGGGTATTAGGCCGAAATGACATGTATCCAATCCTGTGACAAGAGGCCTGTGGATGTGGTGACCAGTGAGTGGCTAGAACCGTGTGCTCATAAGCCAGCGAAGTGGAAACCTCCACACACTATACTCTTGGGAACTGCGAATCTGCTTTCAGAATCCCTGCATCGGATGGAAACAGACCGGCATTTCAAATGTACACTGACTAACTTACTTACTTACTGGTTTTTGTAGCTGGGTGGCATGTGCTTTAGAGGGATAGAAATGGCCGTTTGGGATGCTATGACCCCTGTTCACACACACAGTGTCTGGGAGTCTTTGAAAATATGTTGTCCATTAGGAACAGCTGTACTTATCAGTTAGTCCTCTGTTTGTCAATGTTAACGCACAGTGAGACGTTCCTTGTGTTCATCAGTCAGGACGAGCGTACACCATTAACTGTCCCGTTTTCCTCTGGCCTCATCGATATCTCCTGCTGTAACAGAAACCTCTCACTGAGAGCTTGTTCTTTTCTGAGTGGACGTACGTGCCCAGGTCAGTCAGGAGTGTATATGTTGATATTGATGCCCCAAAAAAGTCAAATCCAAAACCAACAAACATTTTCAGCAAACATGTACATATTTATAACTGGGGATATGGCATTTGTTTACCCATTCAAAAATGCTGGGTTGGGTACCATGATAATATCCAACGGTAATACTATGATACCTTGATATACAGTATACTGTGGTACAGAGTGACTACCATATTTCTATGCTATGTTTTTACATGGTACTTAAAGAATGCCGCTGCATTACCATGGAAAACAACCGGAATTTGTGGTATTATCTTGGTACATATACAAAAACTACAGTATTACCATAGTACCAAGTCCAAAAACCATAATATTACCCTGGTATGTGTCCAAAAACATGGCAATACATTAACTGCTACCTATTTTTGTCATATTTTTCTCAAATGAGCAGCATTAGTTAATTGGTTTGACAATGATGCTGTGTTTTACATTGTTCTCAAAGGTACTGTAAAGAATATAGTACCATTATATTATTGTAAATGCCCAAAATTTGTGGTATTAGCTTGGAACATATAAAAATATGGCATTATCTTGATACATATCTAAAAATGACAGTATTAACATGGTAAATGTTCAAAAAGCATGGTATTATCTTGATTCTTACACAAAAACCATGGTATTACATAGTACATGTCCAAAAATGTGGTATTGCCTTGGTACATATCCAAAAACATGGCATTAAATATGCAAAAAAAAAAAAAAAAAAGGGGAGAGAGAGTATTATTTTGGTACATATCCAAAAAATATGTATGTGTCATATATATTTTAAAATATACAACCAGAACAACACCAGGTGATGCTGAATTTATGTATGTGTCAGATGTTTGTGGCACTGCTACTATATATATATATCAGTAATTTTTCCAGTCTAGTGTCACATGATCCTTCAGAAACGATTCTAATTTGCTGATTTGCCACTCAAGCTCAAACATTTATTGTTATCAGTGTTGTGTTGCGTAATAGTTTTGTGGAAAACGTGTTAGCTACTCTAACATTCAAAAGGGGCATTAAATATAAAAAAAAAAAAAAAAAAAAGGGGAGAGAGAGTATTATTTTGGTACATATCCAAAAAATATGTATGTGTCATATATATTTTAAAATATACAACCAGAACAACACCAGGTGATGCTGAATTTATGTATGTGTCAGATGTTTGTGGCACTGCTACAGTGAGGTGATGGAGTCAAACACTTCCACTGGCTCAGA